TGGCCAAGCCGGGATTGACGTCCAGAATTGGCCAACAGGAAGGGTGTAGTGTTCCACCAGGACAACGCCAGACAACACACTTCGTTGATGACTCGTCAGAAGCTACGGGAGCTCGGATGGGAGGTTTTATCGCATCCACCATATAGCCCGGACGTAGCGCCAAGTGATTACCACCTGTTCCTGTCCATGGCGAATGCCCTTGGTGGTGTGAAGTTGAACTCAAAAGAGGCTTGTGAAAAGTGGCTGTCCGAATTCTTCGCAAATAAGAAGGGGGGCTTCTACGAGGAAGGTATTATGAAGTTGCCGTCTAGATGGAAACAGATCATCGAACAAAACGGCGCATATTTTAACTAAATCCGATCACTGCAACACTTTTTATAAAGCATTGAATGAAGAGCAAAAAAGCGGAAGGGAGATATATGACAACCTATATTTACGATTGGAGGAATACGTTTTGTAGATTACGAACTTAATTAAAGTCTCACTTGTAAAATAAGTGTCTGATATAAGACAGATTTCAACATTTTCAAGATGGAGTAATGTCTCTAATTCATTTCTATGTTTGAGTAAGCCATCAGCAATCCTTGTCATAACATTTATTTTTTCAGTTTTGTACCCTAATTTCGTTTGGCTGTCGCTCCAGTTGAGTTAGACGTTCGTGAACAAATCTATTTTGTTCTTCGAGCTTATTAAGAATCAACAAAAGATTCCCGGTAATATCATTAACGACCTTCGGATGTTTTTTTTTCAGACGCATCTGTAACTATGCTGGCAGATGAGGGTTTTCCAGATTGCTTGCTTGTGGTAGTACCCTCGTTCAGTGGAGCTGTAGTTACACGTGCACTTATACGATTTGGCTGATTGGGCTCTTTTTTTTTCTTGGCCACATTTTTCATTTTTTGAAGTTGTTTTGCCTTTTTACATCTTCTCTTTTTTTATGATATCGCAGAGTGATTTTGATTGCAGTTTCAGCATTTTCGTGGTAGTTCAGCCCATTTTGTGCAGCTTAAAGTTGTGTGATTTCCAGCGCCTTAGTGTAACCGAATGCCCGACAGGGGCATTGCACTTCGTTAAAATATGTTAAATTTCATAGGTTTTCTTGATAAATATTTAAGGAATTTCTAGTATTATACTGAAGTTTGTATACGGCTTTCTTAACATTAAAGCCTTGTTTTTAAAGATCTGTTATCACTCATAGCACTCAGGCTCATAAGAGTGATGAAGGTTTTTTACCATAACGCGTATGTCACGCTATTGCTTGTCTTCGTACGAGTACCACGAAATTTTCGGTTCGTTAAATTTTCTTGTGAGAATTCTATAGTCAGAGCTGTTTGACAGGTTTATTTTACACGAGATTGGGCGCGGAAGCTTAAGAGCGTATGCATTTTTGTATTACTAAAAAAGTAACTAGAAAACTCATCGAAATAGAATAGATCTAAGCTCTGATCACTCTCAATATTGTTTTATGTGTCAGTATGTTTTTGTCATCGGTGCGAAAATGAGCTTCGAACAAAGAGCCAACATTAAATTTTGTTTTAAAATTGGTAAAACTTTTACCGAAACGTTTCAATTGATGAAACAAGTTTATGGCGATGATTGCCTATCCCGTAGCAGAGTGCACGAGTGGTTTCAACGTTTTCAAAGTGATCGTGAGGACATAAATGACGATTGTAGGCCAAAAAATCCGCAAAGAATTTGTTCCACCCGGCCAAAACTTTAATGCGGTATTCTACCTTGGAGTTTTGAAGCGTTTGGTGCGCCGTATTCTACGTGTTCGGCCCCAATATCGCGAAGATGGAAGTTGACGTTTGTTGCACGATAATGCGCCGTCTCCTCGATCGACGCTTATGGCCGATTATTTGACCAAAAATTACATTTTAACAATCAACCACTCCCCGTATTCACCTGATATGACACCGTGCGACTTCTACCTTTTCGGAAAAATGCATTTGCCGATGAAAGGCGAAAGGCGGATACTGGCGGCCATACGGGGCAACGAGCTAAAACACTCGTTCGACATGCTTTTGGACCGTGCAAAAAGCTGTATTAAAGCAGAAGGAGACTATTTTGAATAAAATTAATTGATTTTGCCGATAAAACCATTTGTTCTGTCTTTTTTTTAAAAGTCCTGTTTCCTTTGGAACGCACCTTGTAAAAGGCTGAGAGTAAAGAAAGCACCAGGTTTCGATCCGTTGAAATATTAAATCTGTTATCATACAGAAGTTTCCTAAAGCTCACCTCTTTTTTCAATTTATCAATCCGTCAGCCAAATTTTTCAAGTGTTTGGAAAGTTGCTGAAGTTGTCATGGTTCCTAAACTAAGAAACCTATCATTAATGAAAAGCAGTTAATTCCATTGTATAAGTTCGGCTTCAGAAACAAGCATACAACAATAAAACAAATCATAGAATAACATTTAAAATAGAAAAATCCTTGGAGGAAGCAAAAGTGTGCTCAGATGTAGCACGAAGGGCTTCTGCATAAAATAAAATTATGTATTTCGGTTGAGTAATGTGCTCTCCTAGAATCGTATAACACCTCAAGATGACACCACAATACTATGCGTCGAAAACACAACAGGAAGAGCTGCGTTAAGTCTGTAACATGCAATCAACTCCGTAGTCAATTGGACTAAAAAATGAAGAATAAAACTAAACAGTGAATTTTACAAACAAAAGAATTATACTACTATACAAAACATACATATTTTTTTGTTGTCCTGGATATCTCAGCAAATTTTGATACTTTCAAGTGTCCAGATTACGAATTTATTCATAAAAATACGGAATGTGCTCTTGTTTTTATGTTTATTGTATATCTTATATTTTGATAAATTATCGGCTTGTTAGCATTAATATTTATTTTTCATGTTTCATAAATTTCAGTATACGAAATGTCCTGTTTTATTCAATTAAAATCTCCCTTTCTTTTCGAAAATTATAGCTCGGAAAAATTTTGTGTTGATACTCAAAAATTTAATAGGAAACCATCAACTTCCTCATTATAAAGAAACTGTGAAAAATATGTATGTTGACAAACTTTCGGGCTCTAGGAGCTGAGTAATGAGTATAGAATATGAGCATCAAGTTAGACTATCGCTTCGATGTTTTCTTCGACGTTCTATATCTTCACTTTCCGCGCAAATATGGGGTTGCGTCAATGATAGAAGCAATAATAATATTCAGCGCTCCCAAAATAGGGTGCTAAGAGGTATTGTTAAGGCTTTTTGGTACATTAGAAAAGCTGATATTCATCGTGACCTAAAGGTGAATAAGTAAAAAATCTCTTCTAGACACATAGTCACCTATCTTGGAAAAAACCGCATGATTTAATTGATAGGTAGAATACCAAGGAATTACGAATTTCTTTGTTGATTATTAAAATCAAAGTGCTAGTTAGTTTTATAAAACTATAGTGCTTTTTATAAATAACACTACATTGTTATTACACATTGTTATCGTTTCAAAAAAATTTTGTAATAAAAAAACTCATAAATTGTAGACGTTTGAGAAAAACGATTAATAGTGCGGTAAACAAACATTCACGAAATATTACGTTTTATAAGAATATCATTCATTTACTTAAGATTTTTCCATACTTATACGATTTTCTTTAGCTCCCCACTCCATTTTTAATAAAGGAAAGCTAATATTAAACTGATTATTATAAAGGGTGATCCATTTCAAGGTTCTCTACTCTTTTAAAGAAAAAAACACAGAAAATTCAAATTTAATGCAACATGTTTAATATCATTTGAAAGAACATTCTTTGGCATTTATTTTTTGAAGATTATCTCTTTCAAATGTTGGCCGCGGCTTCGTCTCAGATGGTTGGTCCGTTGAGTGCAATTTTCGATGACTCGTTCGAGCATTTCCATTGGTAACTGGCGAATGCCACGCGTGATGTTTTGGTCCAAGGTCTGAATCGAAACGGGATTGTCCACATAGACTCTAGACTTTACATATCCTAACAGGAAAAAGTCTAATGGTGTGATATCACACGATCTTGGTAGCCAATCGACCGGCCCAAACTGTGAACTTATCTGCTCACCGAAGTGTTCTGTCAATAAATCCATTGATTGATGCGATGTGTGGGAAGTGGCGCCGTCTTGCTGAAACCAAATGTCGAAAGGATCACGAGCATCAATCAGGCATCAAATAGTCGATTATCATTGCGCGATAACGGTCGCCATTGACGGTTACGTTCTCACCGGCATCGTTCTTGAAGAGATATGGACCAATGATTTCACTGGCCCACAAACCACACCAAATCGTTGTTTTTTCTGAAGGAAATGGCAGCTCTTGAATTTCGTCAGGTTGCTCTACCTCCCGAATGTGAAATCTTTGCTTGTTTACATACCCATTGAGCTGGAACTGGGCCTCATAGCTGAACAAAATTTGGCTCGAAAAGGTCGAATCTTTATGGAACTATTTTGTACGCTTTCAATGTAAGATCTCGACGTAGAATGCGCCAAGTCGTTCCATACGTCAGCTCGAGTTGCTGCGAACGGCGCCAAATCGACTCTCCGCGGTCTTCGTGTACACTCTCAACTACGGCCACTATATTTTCTTCACTGCGTGCTGGACGTGGTCTATTCGGTCGAACATTATCCAATAATGAATGGTGGGTCTCAGGATAGTGATGGTTGCGCAAAACGCAAAACACATTCTTTACAGAACGTGAATTTTCGTAATTAAGTAGATCGATTTGTAACTGTTGTTCAGGCGTAAGTCATTCCATGATGAAATGCCAAACAATACTGCACAATCGCATGACAGTTTGACACGACTTACGCGTGATCTGTCAAAAAATAAGGTATTGAAAAAAGTACCTCTACTTGAATCACCCTATTTATGAGTACTGTGACACTGCAATACATATTAAAATAAAAATTGCCGAAATTTTTTCTGCGAATTTGTCCTCGCTTATGTATTGTAAACTTTGAAACAGAATTTATGGCTAAGACTAAAGTTGTAAGTAAAATGAAAAATACATACTTACCAATTCGCAATTAATTTGCCTTAAGAATTCAATGCTATAAGGACCTGGTCTAATTCGTTCTCCAAAAACGACTTGTCCCAAATTTTCAACAGGTGAGTTCTTTTCATTGCCAGTACAAAAATCGAAATGATGATACTCATACGGGATTACGGATTCTTCTGTGTTTAGTCGATTAACATATAGGACTATTTCTGACTATAAATAAGAAAAAATATTAAGCGACTTATATAAGTTTACAAAATTTTTTATATTTAGTATATACGTATGAATACCAAACAAATAAGGAAGCGCTAAACTAGGGTGTAACCGAACTTTTTATACTTAACAGGGATCAAAGGCAGAGAAAAACTTTCAGGTGTTGGAAAAATTTATATTTATTTAACTTATACATCATATTGATCAGTTTTGGAAGGTAAGGCTATAATTTAATTACTCAATAACATAATGTTAATTGAAAAATTCTCATTTTGTTTTGAGCCATGTTCTATTAAGATCCGATATAAACTCAACGAAATGGACAAAGTTTAATTATATATAGCGTCAGCAGAAATAATTACATTTATTATATATATGGGGTTTGCACATAAGCAACATAAGCAGTTTGAAATCAGCAAAAACCACTATATCGGGTATACTGGGGCTATGGGAAAGTGTGGATTGATTGCATTAACTTTTGACACGTTCTAAGTTTACTGAAGATCATATTTCCAGTCAACTTTATGGCTCGCCGTAGTCTGCTAGAATAGAGAATGTCATTATATTTAGTACAAGACAGCTGGGATAATTTGTTTACCGATTTCACAAATTTTTGGCTTTAAAAGACGTTATATCTAATATTATCCGTTCAGTTATTTTTGTTAAGATATCTTACAATTGATTTATACAGCATAAAACTTCGAGAAAATTATAATATATTAAAATCATTATCACATGAGATATACATATGTGATATAAACTCAACCGAAAAGGTTCAATTGTTATTATTGTATGTTGAGTGATGTGGAAAACGTCAACCAAATCATCGAATTCATTACATTAGGATGAGGTTTGGAGGTAGGTCTAGACCAATTTCTTTTTTCAAATTTTGACATTGCTCAGGTATTCTCGAGAACATATTTTCAAGCAATTTTATAAAAAAAATAACTCTGACCCGCATATTCGTCATAAGGTTTGTTAGAATAAATAAAATATAATATAATCATTGAAGTAGTATATGGGAATAGGGTTAATCCATACGTGACCCCGTCTCCTAATAGGCTTAATGTATATATCTCCCAAACCATTCAAGCTATATCACTCAAATTCGCACAGAACAAATCCTTTGGTCACCTCTTACAACAGTGTGAAAATAGCGGAAATCAGATGATAACCACGCCCACTTCACATATAGCGGTTTTGTTAAAAAATACTTTTAAGTGCGATAAATCAATAACTAAATGCGTTAGGACATTAAACTTTACATCTCGGATGGTACGAGCGGGTTAATAGGAGCCGGAATCCAAATTGGACGATGGGGTGGCGCCGTCCATATTTAGGTAAAATCACATATCTCCGGACTTGCTCGACCAATTTCAATCAAATTTGATAAATAACATTATCCTGACATTCCTATGTAACAGTGGTACGAACTACAACCACCACTACTTCACATAAAATACAAATTAAGTTTTAATCCGATTCTTTCACTTTCCAGTATACAGGGAGGGCCGTAAAAACTGTTCGCAAAAAAATTACAAATTTATATTAAAGTTAGGATGAAAACTTCTTTTATTTATTAGTTAAACTATAGACTTGCATTATGTGTTATTTAATTCAAATTCAAATGGAATTTCGGAAACTAGTACAGGCGGCACACACTTCTTCTGGAATTTCGGCCCAAATTCTGTGCAAACGGCGCTTAAACTGGTCCAGTCTTAAGTTTTTTACATTTGTTAAATTCCCCATCATATATATATCCTCATATACAAAAATCCAAAGGATTCAAATCCGGAGAAGAAGGGGCCATTCATCCGTTGAAATAAAACAGGGCATATTGTCTTTGCACCATTGCTGAACAATTCTTGCTTTACAGACTGAATATATGAGCAGAGAGGTGTCCAACAAGCACTTCCCCCAAATAATATTTTTCGTTAATTTTTACGACTTTGTCACAGATATGGTTCCCCAAACCATAACAGAGGTTGTGTTTTGATACATTTCAATAGCTCTTTTATCAGCTGGAATTTCAGACATACTGGTTGCTTAAACGCGTTCATTTTGCGAGTTGTGACGTGCCTGTAACACAATAAGCTTCTCATCAAAAAACAAAATCTAACAATTTGCGTGCCGTCGAAAGAGCTAATCACTTTTTTTTTTTTCCTCTCTCATAAGCTTTTGTCGTTCCGTTTGACGATGAATTCGTTTTGTTTTATCAGTCTTCATTCGGATCGTTTTACGGCTCACGCTGGGGTCCTTTGTCAGTTTCAAGTCAAATCGGTTGACTTTTACCGCATATATCGGTCAATATGTGAGTTATCTTAATAAAATTAAGTGGGCCTGTTTCTTATAACGGTGTATCTTTGTCCTAAAATAGATATAATCGGGTCCATACTACCTTTATCTCTCATACTACCTTTATCTCTCATATAAGTATTTCATACTTCCGGTTGTTTTTATACAATATACTTTATAGTAGCAATAAAAACCTGAGCAAAAAACTTTGGTACATCCCGGTGTTGGACCGACCAGGATTTCCAATTCCCACAACAGCCGGTTCTACGTTATCGGAATTGACCCGCATTTTCTCCGGCCAAGGGCTGTTATTTCGGCGATCTAACCCGCCTAGCAGCAGGGTTGCTCCGTATCCTCCTGACCTGTGCTGGCATCGAGTCCAACCCGGGCCCCGAGGAATTTTACTGCTGCGTTTGCGCTATAAGGCTCCATCCAAACTCCATCTCGGTTAGGTGCAATACATGCAATGGATGGAGCCATCTTAAGACCTGCTCAGGCCTTAAGACACATAGGGAGTGGACCACGAGTTGCATGGCCCCGTGTTGCCAACGCAATACTGCGACATCTGCCTCAACGGATGTGCAACCTGCACCATGTTCGCGCATTGCGCCGCCACTCCAGTCGAGTGGCCAAGACAGGACCTCCACGGCCCTAAGGAGCTCACACAGGCAGCTTGACTCCCAGTCTGACTTTCGCGCAACTTCGTTCTGGATATTGTAGCAGGTTAAAGTCCTACTTATTCAGAATTGACCCCGACATTCCAAACACATGTCCTGCGTGCAATGAGTCTCCGCATGACACTAACCCCCTCTTTGCATGCTCAACGAACCCCACTCATCTAACACCCTTTTCCTTATGGTCCGACCCAGTCGAAACAGCTCGTTTCTTGGGCCTCCCGTTAGATGACCTCGACGACAACCAATCTGGAACTTATCACCCAAACGGGGATTAGGTAACCGTTACAACAACAACAAAAACCGACCAGGAAAAAGTAACATTGTCATAGATGGTGTAGCATTATCCTTAACATCAATGCTCTCTAATAGTTTATTTTTCTAGGTTTTGGATACCTGTATTTGGGGTATTATCTGTTTTCATTTGATTCGATAAGGTAACACTAGTTATTTGACATTTTGGAACCCTTTTGTTATTGTCAGTATTAATAGAATTTAACAATAATTTAAATATTGAATTATATATAAATAAATAAATAATTTATTTTAAATCGAAAAAATGCGTTCTTTAAACAATCTCCTCTATCCGCCTGTACCCATTTTATTGTCGAAAGCCTTGGACGTTGTACTAAAGTTTTCTCAAAAATGTTTTTATTACATATTCAAATATTTTTCGATTATTAAAATTCCTAAAGATTAAATTTACATTTAATAAGTATATCGCTTTGAGGGATTTAGAATATATTGTAAATATTAGTTACTAATTAGTACATTGTAGGTAAACAGGTACCGCTATAACCTAACTTCTTCTTAGTGGTCAGAATAGCAAACCAATTCCATTGGTGTTACAGAATTGTGATTGAATTTTCGTTTTTTCGAATATAAGAACCCTTATATGAATCAAGGTACCTTAATAACTAGCCAAGGGTTTGTATCCAATAGAAAACGTTTTGCTAGTTCTTTTTAGCCACGTCGTTTGAGGTAAAACGAAGTCGAATTAAGGTTACTTAGTAGGGGGAAAAATCTTTCATGCAGATCTTTTACTTGGTTTTGATCGATGAGCTTGTATGGCAGCTATATACTATACTTCCGTTTAAATATGGAATTATTTTGTTTTTTACTAAATGAGATCAAGGAGCAATAACATTTTAAACGATTTTAACGTTGGGCTAAAGCAACCTACGATATCTATGGTTGTTACAGTCTGCTCTTTAATATTATGAACACCGTATATTATATAATGCGCATAACTAGGTAGTGAACAGAAGAAGAGCAAAACGCTTCAAAAATTTAATTTACTCAAAAAGTACAATCCCAGGAGTAGTAGATTGTATCGACTCTTTATGTTCGAATCACTTTAAGGACCACGGTCCTTTAATCTCATTTTTAATGTTTCCTCATTGTAACTTGCCTCGTCCAGTTTCGGGATTTGCTCCTCGAGCTCAACAAATTTTTCACCTTTCTATGTATTTGCACAAACAAACTCATTAGTAGGGTAGTCAGAATTTTCAAAAAATCAATGTTTTGTTGCAATTTCGTTAAGTGTAATATCTTGAAAATATTCTCTGAAAACCCGATAATTACTTTTTGAATTATTCGACAAATAACAAAAAGCGCTCAGGTGCATGTAGCTAGCGGCAGCTGCAAGAAACTTTAAATGCGTTTTTCTCAAAACTATGCTTTTCGAACTGGTGACAACTGTAACTCGAAAACCTCTCAGTAGATTTTGATGAAATTTATACAGATTTTGGAATAAATATTAAACTCGGGCCTGATCGAATGATTTTTTTTTTAATTTCGATTTTTTAAGACCAATTAACTGTTTATTAAATATCCAAGGGCTTATGATTGTTACCGCAAGGACCTTTTTTTGGAACTGGGTCAACACAGAACTTTGGAAATTAAATTTTATTTTCGTGACTTCAAGTCAAAACATTGTATAATAATGCCATATTACTACTTTGGAAAAAGGCTTATTTTGTCGTGCCTCTGAGTACCCCTAACCGCTTTAAATAGTTTAAAACTACAAAA